TTTTTTTTTTTTTTTTTTTTTTTTTTTTTTTTTAAATAATAATAATATTGCTTTCATTTTTATCACGTTACTCGTCTAATGTCTATATTTTTTTTTTCCTCTCTTCTCTCTCTGCATCATTTTTCTTTTTCCGCCACTTGTTGAATTGTACAGTGCTCAAGTCCACCACATGATACAAAACCCATTTTCAAAGAAAGTGTGAGCAGATCCCTCCTTCGTTTCTTCTACCCTTCTTTCTCACTTAATTTGACTCAATGCCAACAAATAATAATAAATTCCCGCGGAATTTCCTCTAGTGTGCAGAAATCAGGCTTTATGTAACAAAATAATGCAACAATAATACACGAGTATAACACTCTTTTAAACTATACACTTATCTGTTTGAAAATATAACTAACTGTATATATATATGGTGTGTTTTTCCTACATATTCTTTGAATCCTTGTAATCGAGTCTAATCATATGTTTGAATATATTTATGTTTTAAACGAAGAAATTTAAAAAGCAATTGTTTGCTTGTCTTGGGATGATAATTGATAAAGAAAGTCTTATCACATTATTTATTAACTCTAGGCAACTCCTATTATAAGTATTAAGATTAGATCTACATTATTTTTTACTTATTAGAATTAGGTGTTAAACAATAATTATATTTAATTATATTATTAGTGAGTTTAAATATTAAATTATTGTTAAATACACTTCCATTAATTTAATAAGTCACTTCCTATATCCCTTGTTTTCTTTATTTATTACTTAAATATCTTTTTTTGGAAAATATTTTTTAAAATAGAAAAAATATACTTTTGAAAAATATTTTTTAAAAGACAAAAAATACATTTTCCAATAGTATTTTCCATAAAAGAATATATACCTAAAAAGTATTTTTCAGAAGATAAATATTTTTAAGAATAAAAAACATGATTTCATATCAATAATAATAATAAAATATATTATTAATAATTAATAACTCATCATAAAATCAATAGGTCATACATTTGAAATAAAATTTTCATAAAATTCACAATTTTATATCCAATGTATGTAATATTAAAAATAAAGTGAAAATCTAGAGTTTAAAAAATGTTAAAATTAACGATGCAAAAATAAGATTTAAAAAATAATAAATAAAGCCTAGTGGGTATCTTGTTTGTTGGAGTGAAAAAAATCAACAAATAAAAAGTAAAAAAGAAAAAAAGAAAGACATATAAAGAGTAATTAGAGACGAATAGAGTATTAGAAATGAAAATGAGTGGGAGGAAGAAGAAGTGAATGGAAAAGTTAATTTTTAGGAATAAAATTTATTTTAAAATGAAAAAAAAATTAAAAGGAATATTTAAGAAATTTTTTAGAAAATTGAAAAGAGAGATGAATCATGTATATAACATTTGCCTTAGTATTATCAAATAGAGTATAATATTAATCCATTTAAAAAAAATACAATTGATTATGGGAAAAAAAAAAAAAAAGTTATAGAAAAATTGAAACGGTTGATGTACGTTGGTATGGGGAGAGAGACATGTGGGCTTATGAGGGGAGAGACATGTGGTTTTTCTTTGTTGCAAAATTACCTTTACTAATTACCATTCGTTTCCAAAAGAAAGCCAACAAAAGGCCAGAGCACTAAGTGGATTCTCCCAAATATTGCATGATAGTGAAAGCTTACCTCTTTACATTCAGCTTCTATAATTAGATTTATTTTAGGCGACCCAAAATTCTCTCTGTCTATGCTTCAAATGCCATGTTGAGTCAAGATTTAGGCCGGCTTCTATTCTGTTCAAAGTCTGATAGGATAGGACTAGGAGGAAAGAAACATCAGCCAAACACTATGAAACAAAGAAAATAAAGTAGCTGCCCAATTATTTCTACTCTAAATTCTTTATCCAAAATGATCAACAGAAATATTATGATTAATTTATGAGCAACAAAAGGATGTTTTACAAATTAACCACCATAAATTTATGACACAATAAATGGCGTGTTTGGTGCATGTTGTGAAGACTGACTGCTACATGCATAAATTATTGTGTTTGGGAAAGATCAAGAGGCAAGGCTTTATTATTTTTCCACGTAGCCCTTTGAAATTCAGGGATCTACACAACAATCACTCCTCCATTGATGTTCAAAATCTTTGAATACACAAAAAGTAAATTACAGGTCGATGATTGCGGTTGGATTGGTGTTTTCATCTTTTTTTCTAAATGAGGCATTCCTTTAAACCCAAAGCAGCCAGCCACTTCACTAAAACGTACGGATATCTCACAAAGACATGTCCAAAAGCCATTTGAAAAGGAAAGGAGTGATTCTCCACTAACTCACCCCACTTTACCACTGTCGGTTAAGATTAACCAATCAATCTTAAACATGTTCTGTAAATGGAAAAGGTTAATGTCTCCTACTTCATGAATCTTTAATTTATCTAACTTTCTTATTTCACATGTTATTATAAATTCAGTTCGTGACCTACACTAAATGCTTAAACTTTAAACTTTAAAGTGTTGCACGGTTCATTTCAATTTATTTTTCTACAACATTACCTTAATAAAAGTTAATAAGACCACACGCAGTTGATCCGGGAGAGAAAATGATATTTGCATCAGCATGCATGTTTAGCTTTGTTTTTAGTAATGGAGAATCTTTTACGAAGTATACGTCATGGTGCCTTAATTAAGTGAAGCCTAGGGTTACTTATGCTTTCAAATTGCTTCCTTCAAATCTATACTATATATCAGAAACTTTACAGGAAGGGACAAGAGAATCCAATTCATGGCTTACATAAGCATTAAGCAAGTAAACAAAGGCTATAATGTTCCCCCAACCTATCTGTTCCACCATGTGAGTGCGTCACATTTCTAATAATTGTAACTATTTTTAAACCCTGCAGCAGTGTACTTCTTTTCAATTTAACAAATAAGAATCTGCGCTAGCTAGGTAATGGATGCATGACAACATGTCAACTATAATTAATAACCACTGGCAGACTGGCTTTAATCAAATTGTTAAATTCAAAATCAGGTAATTATCGGTTTTTATTTCAATAAAAAAATTTCCACTCATTCTCCATTGTTCTCTACGTTCAATACAAGGTAAAAATTAATATGTTAAATTACATTTTACATCTATAAGTATTTTTTGCAACTTAATTATTTAATATTACTTGTACACAACAAAAATAAATAAATAAATAATTTTTTAGCATTATTTTGTTCGACAGTGGACGACAAACAGTGGATGACGAAGGGTGGATAAATGTATATTGTAATTTAAATTTGTCCATACTTTCATTATATTTGTTCATACTTTCGAAAAAGAAACTCGGAAGATTTTAGTGTTACCAAAATTAATTTTTGGAACTAGAAAAGTTTTATTCCGAAAACAACTTTTTTAAAGTGAGTTTCTTACATAATTTTGGAAATTTTTTTCCAAAATATTAACGGTGTGTGTATTTGTTACAATAATTCCATAAAGAACTTTCTGTAATAGTAATTTTAGTGTTACAGAAAGTACTTTCCAGAATTATTCCGACAGAAAGTTATTTCCGGAATAGTAATTTTAGTATTCCGGAAAGTACTTTCCAGAATTATTCTGGCGGAAAGTTATTTCCGGAATAGTAATTTTAGTATTCTGAAAAGTACTTTCCATAATTATGTTTTACAAACACACCTCCGAAAAATATTTTTCAAAATAAATTTTTTTGTTCCAAATAATATTAAGAATAATTTAGAAATTTAATATATTTTTTTTTTAAAAAAAGGGGTGTATGTATAAAAAAATGGAGGTATATATATCATTAGCAACTTGTTTTTGGGTATGGTTAATCAGTTTACATGATGGGCTCATTAGGGCTTCGTGGGATGACTGAAGCGTACTTCAGCCCATTGGGCTCTGATACTGAGATACTCTGTGGCGGAAAAAGGCTGGTGCGTCCCCCTCTCTCACCATATCATTTTTGTACATTATGCATTTCCTCCGAGTTTAAATGTATTTTTAATTTCTTAAATTACATTTAAAATTATTATTTTTAGTCTTTAAATTTTTTAAAATTTTATTTTAATTCTTTATGTCACTAATAACATATTTAAAAATGATATATTTACTACTAGAAACACTAATAGATAGATTTATATGATAATATTTGATAGGTTTTTAAACAAAATTTGAGTATAAAGGCTAAAATATTTTTTTTCATAAAAATACAGAGATTAAAAAATTAATTTTAAATTTAAGGAACTGAAAAAAATTCTTTTATTTAAAAATTAAAAATATATTTAAGTCTTTTATGAATCATGATTATATTATCAACATTTATTTTTCACGCCCTTTTCTTACTACACCCTCTTCTATTTAAAAAAAAAAAAAATACTACATCCTCTTCCCTATTTTCTATTTTCAAAATTTTCTCAATCGTGTGTAGATTCTATAAGTGTTTGATTATGATCGAAATGATAAATACCTTAACAAACAGTGGTTCTTGACTTAAAAAGTTTTTTTTATTTATTTTTTTAACAATTGATGCATAATCTTTAAACCAATTATTGTGATCATAATTATAGGAAGACTAGTGATTTTATAAATCTTTCTCAACTAAATCTCTTAAGTCTTCTAATGAGACCTTAACTTTTTTTTTTTTTTTTTTAATAGAGAGAAGTATAAATTGTCATTAAGTATATTGAGAATCATAACTTTTTATAACATATTAATTTAAGATGATTTTCATTACTTTTTAATCTAATTTAGTAGTATAACAAACTCACTTAATTTAATCAAATAAAATAAAATATATTAATAATAAATAACTATTATAATTATTTATAATATTAATTCACATTAATTATTAATTATTGAAATATAAAATTTCAATGGAGTGGTGATGAAAATTTTTTCGTGGTTGACACGGGGAGATGAGACTGATTGATGAAAAGGAGAAAGATTGAGTGGTATGAAATAATTTTTTTTACAAATGTTAAAATTTTATAAGCTTCTAAACTCAAGTATTCAAAAGTGTACAACACTTCAACACTCATGAAATTTGATTTTTGAAAGCGAAAAAAAGTGTACAAACTGAGATTGTTTTTCATAATATATACAAGAGTTAATCATTCATACACTGTCACTGTAAGATTTTTTACATTGACAACTAATTATATTTTTTAAATTATTTTATTTTATTCTTATTTTATTAAATAAATATCTAACATGATACTGTTAAAAGATATAATTAGTTGTCAGCTGAAATTCTGTATATATATATATAGTCTCATACAAAGAAAACTGGCGAGCCAGCTTCATTGTCTTACCAAAATGTGCAGAAAGAAAAACAAACTGCCGTTACTTCACTGACAATAACCATTATTTATTTATTTATTTTATCCATTGGGGTTGGGGCAATAACCATTATTATTGTTAATTATAACAATCACTGTTTCTGTTGTTATTATAACTTGCCCACCACTTTCCAGTTTAGAGTATTCTTAAGGTTTGGACAAATATAATTAGAATAGTTTTGTCCAACATATTATCATACGCTTTATCACCATATATATATATATATATATTTATTGACTGTGACTAAAAACTTGCCTTGTCTCCAAGAAAATTATACTTTTCTTTTCAGTTATTGATATTCACTTTAATAATAATAATAATAATAATAATAATAATAATAATAATAATAATAATAATGGTTTGTCGTAATTTGTAATTTGGACGGAAAAAAAAAAAGAAAAAAAAAAGGTGTGACCATTTCAAAGCGAGGTTGTCGCAAACCCAGAGGCAATCTGTCTTGCGAAATAGTAGAGAGAGAAGGAAGACGATGGGTCCGATCCTACAAACCATTGTGACTGTGCTCCTTCTCCTTATGCTTCTTCTCATCATCATTTTCCTCTTCTTTCTCTTCAAACCATGGCGCTTCTTTTCCTCTTCGCGCTTCCGCTCCTCAAACAAGGTACTCCTCTCTCCATTTCTTCTATTTTCACCGTTCCTTTTTTCCAACCCTAATCGCATACTCCAATCCCAGGGCGAGCTAGATAGGCCCCTCGTTCTATCCGAAGACGATGCAAATGCGTCGTCGTTTAATCAGAATCAGACCAATGAATTGCCTAGGGATTATGATCTCGAGGGCGCCTGTTATCCCACTGAAGCTCATTTTCGCTCTCCCAGAACTCATGGCCAAGGCCTTGTTCATAAGCAAAGGCTTCAAACCCTTTCCGCTTCACCTAACATGCCTCAGGCTGGTGATACTCTCATTGTCGATGTAATCTCCGATCCTTCCTCTGAAGACGTTGACGTTGGTCAAACGCTTAAGCTTCCCGCAGCTCATTTAGCTCAAATTCATAAGCATGGCCCGCCCACTTTCCAAACTGAAAGACTTCACCACTTTGTCGAAAGAGATATCTCTGATCAAAGTAATTTCCTTAGTCTCTTTTTTTTATTCAACTGATATTGCTCCATGTATGTGTTTTCTTTGTGTTTATGTGCCAAACATGTCAACATAATGACATATCCTTTTGTTAGAAGTGCAGGAAGTTGCCTCACTCTGGAGGTTATCAGTGGCCCTTCTCAGGGACTCCGGTGTTCCGTGCAGTCGACAAACCCCTCTCGTCTACCCCTCACCTTGGGGAGGGTTTCTCCAAGTGATTTGTTGATCAAGGATTCAGAAGTGTCGGGAAAGCATGCGTTGATCAAGTGGAATTTGGATGTAAACTCTGTCTGTGCTGTTGGACTTTCAATTGGATTTTTAAGGTGTATGGTGTGTGATAATTGTTGTTGGAATTGAATTTTCAGAAAATGAAATGGGAGTTGGTGGATATGGGTAGTCTGAATGGAACGCTGTTGAATTCCAAGCCAATCAACCATCCGGACACTGGAAGTAGGAACTGGGGAGATTCGATGAATCTTGCTAATGGAGATATCATAACACTTGGAACAACGTCAAAAATAATGGTGAGTATTAGGACTGCATCTCAGTTAAAATCACTGCCACTTTTTTTATGTTTTGGCTTCTGATTGTCATACCTGCGATTGCGAAGCTTATACCCTGTAACTCTGTATGCATCATATTGGCTGTGATGAGACTGTCTGCAGCTCTTACAGGCTGAATACATTTTAGTTGGTAATTCATAATTACAGAGTTTTCTGCTCTGTTTTATAAGCCAAGAATGCTTTTATATGGAATATATTGTTTAGGAGTTTATTTGAATGCCAACTGCTGTTTTGTTTTTCATGCTCATAGATATAGGAGTATACTTTTATTCATGTAAAATAGTTCTTGACTGTTTCTGCTGAACTAGATTGACTAGAAGTTACATATTCAGAATTAGATTTAAGCTTGAGTGAATTTAGACTGTAGTTTATGTTCTTTCAATGATCAATCTCCTCCCTCCTCTGAGATAAGAAATAATGCATCATTTTGGTTATTCTGTGTTCACTTAGAAAGCAAGTTCTGTACATGCTTTTTTTCAAAGTCTGTTGTAATTAGATTTAAGTGTTAAAGTTATGTTTGTTGTTTGTATGTTTTGCACTCTTTGTTTTACTTTAAAATTAAAATGGTATACTTGAAGTGAGTATGCTGCTGTTGCTTTTTTTATTTTTTAAATGCTACTGTAGAGTTTTTTCTTCTAAAAAAGTTTTATAATTCACTGTGATTCAATATATGTCAGGTTCATGTTACTTCGCAAACTCAGCATCACATTCCCTTTGGAGTTGGTATGGCATCAGATCCCATGGCTTTGCGTCGAGGAGGAAAAAAGCTTCCTATGGAAGACATGTGCTATTATCAATGGCCTCTACCTGGGCTGGATCAGGTTTTGGATTTGTTCATAGCACTCCTTAAATGAAGTTCTCTTCTGTTCTTTTTTCTTACTTACCAAAGGGACCTAACCCACCTTTATTCCTAATTTTCAGTTTGGACTTTTTGGCATTTGTGATGGGCATGGTGGAGATGGGGCTGCCAAATCTGCTAGCAAGTTAGTATTTTTTGCCTTAGGTTGGCAATTTTTGTTTGCCATTTTCATGAAGCTTTATGTTAATGCTTGCCAGTTCTATACTTCCTTATGTTGGTGACTATGGATAGTGGACTTAATGAATAGAATTCATTTAATCTTGTCATGCTGCCTTTTTTGATGGCTGTGAAGGGGGATCACCATAATTCACTGTTATTGGCAATTGTGCATATTACTATAGTACTATCTCTGAACTTCATCTACTGATTGTTCTATAGTATGTGATAGGTCCTGTATGTTTCAACTTTCTCTTGTAGCCTTTAGTAACTTAAATGTGTATGGTACGAGTTTATGTTGTTTCCGGGAGTTTTCATACTGTAATTGATCAAACACTAATATATGAAGTACGTTTAATAGACTGTTTTGACTTGCCTACTGTTGGAATATTTGGAAAATATTATTATTGCATCTGGAGTATCTTGGATGATCTCATAGGAGAGGATTCCATATTTCATTATATTTCCTGATTTGATTTGTTTCCTAGTACTGGTATAAACAGGGGTTAGTATTTTGTTTGACATCATATACTAAAAATAATATTATCATTGCGTTTTTGTCTCATTTCCTTCTTCCCTACCTAAATCCATATTATTTCAACATGGCATCAAAGTGATCCTTGTTAACAATCAGACCTGCAGTCCACTAATGATCATACCAGCGGTTACTTTTCTTCCATGATCATTTCAATGGTAACTTATTTTGACTAGGACCCGCTAGCCTGTTCCCAGTTCTAGATGACCTGATTCTATCTGTAGTCTCAAGTGCTGTTGCCTGCTACTGCATTACAGTTACGGTGTTAGTTTATTTTCTATAAATGTGTTATATCATAATAAACTTAAAACATAGTAAGCTACTGCTTTAGCTTCAGGGGGTGTGTTAAAATTTCTAGAAAATATTTCAGAATATTGTGATTGTATCTTAGAATATTTTAAACTATATTGGATAATCTTGTGAAATTGGATACCATAGTTCCTATATTTCCTTATTTGATTTATTAGTAGTCTAGTGGTATAAGTAGTTTAAGTGTTGATATAATGGCATAATAGATATAATTCTTTTTTAAGTCTTGACTAAACAATTTAAGCTTTTGGAATAGTTAGTTTGTATGGCATCAAAGCCTATATGATCGAGTGATCTTTGTTGTTCCCACTCTTTATATGTAAATGTTTAATTTCAGCACAAGTTGGTCTTTGTATTGTTCATGCTTTAAACTGAAAGGGATATTTGCTTAAAAGGGCACATTATGGGATTTGTTAGATATAAATTCATTTATGAGTCTTAGAGCATGTTTGGGAAGATTAACTTTCCCACTTTCAACTGTTTTTTCAGGAGAAAAGCTATTTGCAAAATAAGTTGTATGTTTGGGTCAACAACTTAAATTTGTACATAACTCTTTTTCTAGAAAAATAAGTTGTTTTATGAAGCTGAAAATTTGCAGCTAATGATTATTTCTCAACAATTTTTTTCCCTTTTAAGTTGATTTACTGCATAATAACTGATTTTTTGTTGTATCCAAATTAAAATAAACATCTTAAAATCTCTTTCAGCATACTTAGCCAAACAAAATTTTATTTTAATTATAATCCATTATAGCAATAATTGATTATTGAAATAATCTAATTTCCACAGCTTTTCCAAACACACTCTTAATTCTCTCTTTTCCTCCTTCCCTTCCAATCTATCATTCGTATCTCCAACAATAAGCCTGGCCTGCTGTATCCCAAGCCAATAATGGACAATGAGCTATAATTGTACCTGAGAATTTTCATTCTGCTCTAAGTTGTACGGAAGTGTTTTTTAGTCCATTGATATATTTATAGATAATAAGAGGACAAAATAAGTCAGGTCCAGCAATATAAGTTTCAGCAGCGCATGCTTGCATACGTTCTGAAGTAATTCTGGACCCATCCAGATGGATACCACAAACTTCATGACCGATATGTTTCGCTTCTCTAGTTTTATTATGATTATATATATATTATATATATATATATATATATGATAAAAGCTAGTTAATAGTAAATATATAATGATATGATGATTGAATGTGCAAAACCTTGCTAATTGCCAAGTGAAATTGGGACCTTTAGTAAAAGGACAAATTTACTAAAATGTATTCCTTAATAATTTATCAGAATTGCAACAAGTTTCTGTGCTTATTTTATTTATTTATCCAAGTTCATGGCTTTTCTTAATATGCAAAATACTACTAATATTCTGTATTTCTTTTTTCAGACTTTTTCCTGAGATAATTGCTAGCATTTTATCGGATTCATTAAAAAGGGAAAGGGTTTTATCACTCTGTGATGCTTCAGATATTCTTCGAGATGCATTTTCTCAAACAGAAGCACACATGAATCACTATTATGAGGTATTATGTGCTCCCCTCTGATCTTGTATAGTGAAACCTTAGGCCATATGCATGAGTATTTTATTTCTTATTATCTGTCCTAAATTTTTGTATTTATGGTTTGTTTGTTTTATTAACAAACTCTTTGCAGGGATGTACAGCAACAGTGCTTCTGGTGTGGACTGATGGCAATGAAAATTTCTTTGCGCAATGTGCTAATGTTGGAGACTCCGCCTGCATTATGAGGTTTTTGTTTATCAAACTAACTGGAATGCTTCGGATGACTTGTTTGTATTTTAAATGGGTCAAGGGTAGGGAACATGACATGATGACAATCAGGATATCGGAAACAAAATAATATGGTTATAACTTAATAATGATTTATGCTTGCTTAGCTTTATTTTTCTTGTTACGTCTGAGATGCACTTGTTCTATAATTTTTTTTTACAAAAATAAATCCTTGCATTACTAGTTCTGGAACTTTTAATGTGGATAGCAGATCTACAGTTTTGTCTACTTATAAATTTTCACAGGATTTTAGCTATTTACTTATATGAAACAATTGTCGTACTAATAGATGCCATATTCTTATCCGAGTGACTTCAATTATATTTATAGCTATAGATTTTTAATTTGGTCACGTATGGGTATGTTGGCTTAAATTGATTCAAATTCTTGTGTATATACTTTTTTGTCTGTATCAAACTCATTGGATTATTTTTGGCAGTGTGAATGGGAAACAAATCAAGATGACAGAAGATCACAAGATAGCGAATTATTCTGAAAGACTCAGAATCGAAGAAACAGGTGAACCATTAAAAGATGGGGAAACACGTCTATATGGTATGACAGGAAAAAATTTCACTGAAACAGATCAAATTCCATTTTCCTAAAATACAATATTGACTTGGCAATTGCTGATTCGGGTTCTCACTTGATGCAGGTATAAATCTGGCAAGAATGCTTGGGGACAAATTCCTGAAACAGCAGGATTCCCGGTTCAGTTCAGAACCTTACATAAGTCAAGTGGTGCATATTGATGAAGCAAGCAAGGCTTTTGCTATTCTAGCTAGGTAATTATTCTTATGATGCATGCTTTTACAAATTTCTGTAGCAAAGTGCATCTTCTGAATGATCTGGTTGACTGAATCATGTCTCTCAGTAATATTACTTCTAGAAGGAAAAAACTCGTCTAAAGTGAACAAGTAACGGTGATTCACCTTAGAATTTTTGCGGGTTAATATCACAACTTACATTAAATCGAATGGATGGATTCACCATTACTTGCACATTTTGAAGAAGCTTTATTCCTTCTAGAAATAGTGATGCAACCAGGTTCATTTTTCAAGATCAAAACCATGGTGTTTTTTCTTTAAAACACTTCAGTCACCGGCTTATTTGTCGAACATTTCACATTTTTCTTTTGGCCATGTTGAAAGTAAAACGTTGACATGCAAAATTTTCAGCGATGGGTTATGGGATGTCATCAGCGTGAAGAAGGCAATTCAGCTCGTGTTCCAGGTTTTGTATAAAAGAACTTTCGTTTCTAGGTGTAGTAATTTTTTTTTTCCTTTCTATTTCTTACCAATTTGATCTGACAGCTGGCTTTCTCAAATGCACAGATGAGGGAGAGATGCTATTCAGAGAGAGAGAGTACAGCAGAAAAGACTGCTAGTTTGTTGTTGAATGAGGCTAAAACACTCCGAACAAAGGATAATACCTCTGTAATTTTCTTAGATTTTGATACCTCCAACAGATTCTCTTGTAAAGTTGAATCCTAGTATGAATTAGGAATAGTGTTACAGTAATATTAATACATATTTTTGTTCTCTCAAGCTCTATCCTTATTTTGTTCTCAAGCCCAACTCATGGAATCAGATAAATGAAAAAACGGAGAAAAAACGCAATGATAATTTCGTTTAGTTCCCGGAGGAATGCTATTCATACATCTTGACTTCCATTTTGCGGCAGGTTTGAATATTGCTTTCAAGAGTCACGAACACCAAAGCACGTTTTGAAATCTCCATTATATTGTATTGTAACACCAACACCTGAGAATTTCTATAAATTTTTAATATTGTAACCGTAAAAAAGAAAACTCTAAATTCAATAGAGAACATTGCAATTGTTTTGAAACTTGTGCATTAATTTTTTCTTAAATATAATTACTTCATGTATTATAAATTAATTTTAATTAAGCTAATTTTAAATATAGACACATTTTATAAAAATAGAGAGATTTATTAAGGTATTATAAATTATAATCTCAATATTTTAAATTCGGATTTATTTTTGAAAATTGAAGCATTATTAAGAGTTAAATTATAATCTTAATGTTTTAAATAGAGTTAGATTTTTTTTAAAGAGTAAAAATAGTAGATAGAAGATGATACATTCGAACTATTTCTCCTGTCTACTTAGTATTATATCAAGTCAAGTTAAAATTTGATTTTTTTTAATATTATCTTCTCAATTTAATTTATTTTTTATTTTATAATCAAAATTAAAATTTGAATTTTAAACATTTTAATTAAAAAATATAAGTTATTATCACTTGAAGTTATGTTAATAATAGTTTTGAGTTTAATAGATTGCTATTTAGTTAGTTGCGAAAGTTGCATAAAAGATTTTTGCATGATAAAAGTAGATCTAGAAAGATAAACAGACCAATTATGATAAATATGAAAAAATAGTGACTTTGTGTCTTTTTATTTTTTGAAGAAATTAAAAAAAAATAAAATTATGTAATGGGTAATTAAGTAAATAGTTATTTAAAGAGGATAAGGAAATTAAAATAAAAAAGATATTGAAAGAAAAAAATAATTTAAATGTGTGATTAAAATAAGAAAAGTAAAATAATCCATATAAAAATAAAAATATAGAAGAAAAGGATTATTGAAAGGAATATTCACATTTCACAATGGTATAGAGTCATAGAGAGGGAAAAAAAGGAAGCCGTAGAGGGTTGCATTTGCAATTTGCATGACTTTGAAAGGAAGAGTGAGTGGTTGAGAGACGCAAAGTGACAGAGGGAGATTAATACAAAAATATTAGGAAGTTAATTAATTAATTAAAAGTAAAAGGGTGAGGGTCTCTCCCGCCAGGCGCCAGCAGAAGCAGAAGAGAGCGATGGAGCAAGCGGTGTCACTGATTGGTGCTCTCAACCTCGTTTCCCGCAACCTCCCTCTTCCCCCTGACCTCCTTCACACCGTTTCCTCTATCTATCTCCGATCTCACTCCTCCGTACTCTTCTCTTCTCTTCTCCTCTCTTCTCCTCCATCAACCATTTTTATCTTTTTCATTCTTCTTCTCTTACGCAGGCTGACGCTCCCCAACAAGATTTGTTCGCCGACCTTCAAGATGCGCTGTTGAACCAACGCCCTCACCGCTCCTCCGCTTCCAAATTGCACAAAGCAATGGAAAGCCGTTACCAGACTCGGATTCACCACCGCTTAACCCAGCTCCAAGGTTCCCTCCCACTTCCCTATTCCTATGCTTTAACACATGCTGCGTCTCCTTATCGCTTAACCTAACTAATTGTTTTCTCAACCAGCTTTGCCTTCAACCAGAGGGGAGGACCTACAGACTAGGTGCCTGCTTGAGCTTTATGGATTGATGGTAAATTTCATTCCATCATTAATTTTACTGTATATCGTCTAGCTTTGGTAGATTCATTTTACAAATAGGTCAAGAGCTGTTTCCTGTGCGAAATTGAGAGTCTATTTAGATACAAACTTGGAATAGCTTTTGAGAGTTTTTCTAAAGACAATCAAGAGCTTTTTCCGATAGAGAAGCTCTCAAAGGCACTTTTAGCTTTTAGCTTGTAGTTGTATCTAAACAGACTCTAATTATATGTGTATTTGCTTGTGTTAATAAGTAGAGCCGAGAAATGATGAGAACTGTGTCCTTCTCGGGAACGACCATTTTTCTGGCAGCTAGCTGAGTTGCAGAGGAAGGTGCGGACTGATGTGAGTTCTGAATACTGGCTCAATGTCCAGTGTGCATATCCTGACAGGCAATTGTTTGATTGGAGCATGATGAGGTTACGTCGTCCGCCCTATGGTGTTGGAGATCCATTTGCCATGGATGCCGATGATCAAATAAGGAAGAAACGGGATGCTGAGGTGGCTTTCCATTTTATGTTTCGTGTCCCCTCTGCAGTTGGTTTGAATTCGTTTTTCATATCATGGATATATAGGGTATTGTTTACATTTGTTGATGATGATTATGAAACTTTTTTAACTCATACTCAAATGCAGAGACTATCAAGATTGGAAGAGCAGGCAAAGAATCATATAGAGACCAGAAAAAGAAGATTTTTTGCAGAAATACTGAATACTGTCCGTGAGTTCCAATTACAAATTCAAGCTTCCATGAAGAGGAGAAAACAAAGGAATGATGGTGTTCAGGTACACTTTCTTCTCCATCTTTCAATTTTTACACGGGAAGCTTATGTATAAAATTTGGGATATAACTTTTTGGCCTAATACGATTAGAAATACTTGTAAGTGAAAAAAAGATATTCCGAGTGTGTGTGTATGTTCTTTTGATAATATAGGATATAAAAGGACAATAACATTGTTTATTTCTGAAATATGTAAATATGTTGAAGAATGTTTGAATTTGATCATGTCCTCTTTTGCTTTTAGTGACATTTCTATGACATTTTAGATATTATTTTTTTCTCTTCTTTATGGGTTGAAAGATCACTTTTAATTGATTGAATATGGATTATGAATTCTCGTAAATAATATTGAAGGCATGGCATGGAAGGCAAAGACAACGTGCAACACGGGCAGAGAAATTGAGATTCCAAGCCTTAAAGGCTGATGATCAGGAAGCTTACATGAGAATGGTGAAAGAGAGTAAGAATGAAAGATTGACTTTGCTTCTTGAAGAAACAAATAAACTACTTGTAAATTTGGGAGCAGCTGTTCAACGTCAAAAGGACTCAAAACTATCAGATGGTATTGAACCCTTGGAAGACTCAGAAACTGATTTACCTGAGTCAGATGGATTGAAGAACGCAATTTCTAAAGAATCACCTCTTGAGGAAGATGTGGATTTGACAGATTCTGATCATAATGGTGGTGATGCTAGTGATTTACTTGAAGGTCAGCGGCAATACAATTCTGCCATACATTCAATTCAAGAAAAGGTAGGTACTGTATTTAATTTAGTGTGATTTTTCCATACATTCAAAATTCAAGAAAATTTAAATAAAATTGAATACTAACAAGCTTAACTATTTACAGGTAACTGAGCAGCCATCTATTCTTCAAGGTGGAGAATTAAGACCATACCAGCTAGAAGGCCTTCAGTGGATGCTTTCTTTGTTCAATAACAACTTAAATGGAATTTTGGCTGATGAAATGGGGCTTGGGAAGACCATACAGACCATCTCATTGATAGCATATCTAATGGAACACAAGGGTGTGACTGGTCCTCACTTGATTGTGGCTCCAAAGGCTGTTCTGCCAAATTGGATCAATGAATTCTCAACATGGGCTCCTAGGTATGTCCAGGGAAGACATACAAAATTCATTTATTATCCTGTTTTGGTAGGGAGAGGGTAACAAATCCTTAATTCTTTGCATCTTATTCATTTTCAAATCATTTGTACATTTTCTTTCTGATTCAGCATAACAACCATTCTGTATGATGGACGGCTGGATGAGAGGAAAGCAATGAAGGAAGAATTGTCAGGGGAGGGGAAATTTAATGTTCTGATAACACACTATGATCTTATAATGAGAGATAAAGCATTTCTCAAGAAAATCCAGTGGCACTACTTGATTGTGGATGAAGGGCATCGATTGAAGAATCATGAGTGTGCTCTAGCAAGAACCCTGGACTCTGGGTATGATCCTACTTCTTGGTGATATGATGATTGTTAACATGTTCAACAATATTGATGTTCATGTTACAGTGATGTTTAATATATGTTCACTTCCCTTGGTTCTGGTTATGCTATCCTTTGATGGCACTCTACCAGACTGAAGAAAAAATATATGCTGAAATTAAAGTGGAATGTTGCTTTCAAAACTGTGCATAGCATGGTCAAAGCAGTCAACAACACAGTGCATTACCTGTCAATCCCATGGCACCCTTTCTTTTATTTTATGTTGGTTTGGATTTAACCGATTTATATCTACATATAAATTTCATTTAGTTCTTTAATCTTTATCTGATTATCTCTGTAAAGGGTAAAGGTTTGAGAACTGGTTAGACTCAATTTGACCTAAACCCCAACTAAAAATTTAATTTTGAGACTATGGCCGATGGGATGGTTATTCGGCTTCTACAAGTCTTTTAGCTAAATTGCTTAGTTGAAATAAAAAATGGTCAATCAGCTCTGTTTTTAGAATTTTACTTATATGCATTGTGTTTGTTCAATTGTTCTGTTACATCACTATAATATATTTCTTCTAGACTTCTTTAGTCTCTGGAACGTATCTTGTTGACTTTCTTGTTCTGTTTGAAACAATTTTGTTAGATTAAACTCATTTCTTTAATATAAATTCATTAGAATTGGACAGAACTACATTTATGACTTCTATAATTTATATTTTTACTTCTATGCAGCTATCACATTCAACGAAGACTTCTGTTGACTGGCACCCCAATTCAGAACAGTTTGCAGGAATTATGGTCCCTGCTCAATTTTCTCCTTCCAAACATTTTCAATTCAGTTCAGAATTTCGAGGATTGGTTTAATGCTCCCTTTGCAGATCGAGTTGATGTCTCTCTAAATGATGAAGAACAGTTATTGGTCATTCGCCGTCTGCATCAAGTGAGCTTCTCTCTCGTTTCTTATTTTCTTTCTTTTGTCAACATCATTCTGATCAATATCATTCACACTTTTAGGTGATAAGGCCCTTCATATTGAGAAGGAAAAAGGATGAGGTGGAAAAGTTTCTTCCTAGCAAATCTCAGGTCA